GCTGGGGGGGAGGGAGGGGAGGGGGAGGGAGCCGAAAGAAACCCTCATTACACCCCTATTCCCCTCTCCCCCCAGCCCCCTCAATCTCTCGCTATCTCTCTATCTCTCTCTCTCTCTCTCTCTCTCTCTCTCTCTCTCTCTCTCTCTCTCTTGAAGAGCTCGATGTGGGCATGCGTCAAAATATTGGGACAACTTCCTGTAAACTAACTCACAGAAGGGTGCCCTCCAACAAACACCCCCCCTGATCTCCTGGCCAGCTTTGGCAAACATACATTGAACAGCTTCAACAGTATGGCAAGGGCATTTTTTTGTGCACATGTTAGCTGTATCGAAAATATTTGGACATCACAATGCATGCAGGCATATGCTGTAAGTCCGAAACAAAAGGCAGACAAACATACACGCCGACACCAACAAATTGTGTTCTCCCTGTTGCTTTGTGCAAAAACACACAGACTCCAACAAATTGTGGTTTCCCTGTTGCTTTCCATAAAAAACACACACACACACACAGACTCCAACAAATTGTGTTTTCCCTGTTGCTTTCCATGAAAAACACACATACAGACTCCAAAATTGTGTTTTCCCTGTTGCTTTCCATGAAAACACACACACACAGACTCCAACAAATTTTGTTTTCCCTGTTGCTTTCCATGAAAAAAACACAAACACACACACACACAAAAGGGGTAGCGAGGCTCAACAAATACGGAACGCAGATTCGGGAAGTTGTTCGTATCCCAGCCCCAAGCTCTTCATCAGAGTGCATTTTTTGGCCAAAACACCCGGTGCTCGCGAAAGCCCGGCATGTTGAAAATGGATGTGTGTCTTGTTTTTCGCAGACCCCGGCAGACCCCCAAAATTGTGGTTTTCCTTGTGGTCCAAAAAAGGTGCCCTCAAAAAAGACATCCAACTATGGCAACGACCCATATGACCTTCCCCAATCATAGAAATGACTTAGTGACACGGGGATTCCGATGTTCCCTGCCAAGTAAGAGTTTGCTTGATCTTAAGCTGCCAACTCAACATGTCGCTGTGGTTTGGCCCTTCGAATATCTGGAGTTCATGTTTCAAGGATCCTTCGTCGCTTGGAAATTGGGAGGCCTCACCCAAATGGTGGAATAGCCCCCCAACCACCTTATTTCAGGTTGGTGAAATATATTTATAATTCACCCAGATGGACCCGCCACCTCCCGCGGGATGCCGCGGAACCCCGGTGCTTTCTCTCCGTGCAGGAAACCATCTCCGTGGTTGACGTGGATGAGATGTCCCCAGCCTCCCAGGCGCGGTAGAGACTGGTACCGTAGGGCTGTGGTTCTGTGTGTCTCTTTGCGTGTTTGTGTCTGTCTGTGTGCACGTGGTCCTGTTTTGTTGTTTGGTTGAGTGGTACCCGTTTCACCTTGGTATGACAGAGATATTTCACAGACAAAGCACACTTTGGGGTCCAAATTAATCCCGATGTGGACACATAGACATAGCTGATCCTGCCCTGCCCACGCCTTGCATTCAGGCTGATGACGAGTCCATGCACATTGTATGTGGGCAGCTCATTGGCAGCGCATTCCATGGCAAAACGGACATGCGGAGATTTGTTGAAGCGCTTTCTGCTTTTTGTAGCCCACAGCTTTCGTGTTCATGAAGCGGAACCAAGGATGCGACAATCGTGTAGAGTATCCTGCCGGCAGTTCTCGCTCTCATACGCGCACGTTGAGGGCAGTCAAAGACATGATTTACATTGACTAATATATCCCCCCCCCCAGGACATACCTTTTGAAAGAACTCACTGGCATTGATATTATATATATATATTATACATATATATATATATACACTGTGTACATGTGCATAGACTTGTACAGAGGGTTGCATTCATGTCACGACTTACGGCGCTTTCGGATCGTACGTACAATTTCTGCCCACTTCGGATCCGCGCCGAGATGGGGCCAGCGTGTCCAGTCCTGGCTCCTCGTTTTTCGCGAGCCCCAGGCCTGGCGCGGGTATCGGTACGGAGCCATACACCAAACGGGTAAGTGAAGGTGAGTGCTGGAAAGTGTTTGTGGTTCTTTTCACGAGTTTGGGCACAAGGAGAAAATACCCAGGTTTTGATTGGGACTCAATTGGTGGTTACCCGGTGGTTTGTCTGCGTGGGCCTTCTCGACCGGGTTTTTGGATGACCCAAGCCTTGCGGGAACACCTCCAAAGCCTCCAAATTGGGCGGATCATGATGGATATCCGCTCGCCAAGCGCGAGGTCTATCAAAGTTTGTCGATGTAAATCCGTCCGTTTGGGCGGTTGGAGACAATAAACATAACATGAACGCGTGGCAGTCAGAGTTTTGTGAGGTGCAGGTCTTGATATTACCAAGCTGAGTGCGCTTCCTGCGATGTGTCTTCAAGGCTGAACTCACACAGATGTTGCATGAGAGGCCACTGGAGAACACGGTCAGCTCGCTTTTGCACAGGCAAGGTGATTCGTGCCAGTGTTTCACAAAAACGAGTGT